ATATAACAAACCTGGAAAATCCGTTATTGCTTCCTACACAGTAAATCTAAAGCTACATTGGATATTGCACGTATACCGTAGGAATATTGAGTTATATAACATTGCAAGACATCATCCCTCGCATATAAGGACCAATAAATTTATAGCTCGAGTGCGCATGCTCGATTTTAGTGCCGAATACAGGCAATGCTACGAACGAGTATCTAAAGTGCACTATATCATTGTCAGTCGTTATGACTCGGACGTTTAAACCCGCATGTCTTGTACTCAACTTTTCTGCGCCACGTTACGAATATTCAACTGAGTGCACATTTAGCTTTAAGCATCAATTTCACGCCACACGTGCTCATTCGGATTTCTTTTGCTTCGTGCACGTTTTTGTTCATTGTCGCCTGCAGTCTGAACAGTTTTTTTATAATTCGCACTTTATTCGGATGGTGCCTTTACTGTGCAGAGGCGCAATTGTTCTATGAATCGCCATGTATGACGAAATTAAAGCAAAATTTGAACTCGTCACCTTGTTTGAACGTTACGCTTTACTTTGTAATCCATTGATTCGGAAAAAATTGATGAAAATACATATTAAATCTCAAGGCTAAGATTTTTAAATTCAGATTACCTTATCACTTATTGATAACATAAAAAACTACTGATAATAGAAATCAGTTTAACATTCTAGTAACATAATAGTACTAGTATATAATGAGAAGAAATTTATCCATTTGTATAATTACTTACATAATTTATCTGAATATAATATTTACTAATATGTATAATATGTACATTATAATAGGTGTACACGCATTATTCTCATAAATAATAAAATCAAAAATCAATTCAAAGGCTAATTTAAAATACGTAATAATTTTATTTGTAAATGTTCAGAATGAATAAGAATAAACGTTCATTACTTTTGTACTCTTATGGACATAGCTTGGACAAAAGTTTCAAATATACAATGATAGTAATAATTCATCCTTTTCTATATTTCATCTTATAATTATAATAAATTTATTTTAATCTCTAATACTTTAATCATAATCTAATTTTGTATTCAATAATTTCTTGCGCAAATAAATTGTTTCATATATACTCATTTAGATACATAATTTACTGTCAGATGTATCAATTAGAAAAAAGTTCACACTTGTCAGTTTGGATAAGTCACGAGTAAAATGGCAAATTAAATTGTCACTCCAATTAATGATTTATAGAATATTTAGAAATACGATCAAATTTCAGGAAAATAATACATAGAGAAACTGAAAATATAAAGAATTTAAAAAATTTTAAATTATTATAATTTAAACATTCTTAAAACATGAAAAACAATTATAAGCTTCCTTTACGAATTCGATTGAGTAACATAATATGTATAATAATGAAGAGCTCAAACATGAAATGGAAGTATCCAAGCATAAAAGCTTAATAATTTATTCATAAATACAGTTGAATTTCATTTTATGCTATCAATTATAAATTTAAGTGTAAAAAATTACATTAAACTTCTGTTGTTATATAAATTCTTGATTTTGTTAAATAATTAATAATATGAAAATTCCATAACTATAAAAATTGATGAAAAATAGAAATATCATTTCAGGTATAATGTATTTAATGCATAAAGCTGGTCAATTTTTAAACCAACTTTAGGACTAAGATATTTTTAATTTTACTAACGCATATTTTAATAACGCACTCAGATATTTAACTTGATATTAAATAATAAAACATTGGATTTGCTTGTACATTCAATGCACAAGTTTTCCATAAAAGATCATTTATGATAATATTGAACCTTATAATCGAAATTTTACAGATGACACATTTCAATAAGTACTAATTTAATTATCATAATGGCTGACCATCCTAGTAAATTTAGATGTTTTTGAATTTATAGCATTTACAAAATTATCTAAACTATTTGAAATAAAATTAAAAAATATTTTCAATAGAATGAATTTATGGACCTTTTTATGAATAAAATGCTGATAATTATGACGATATGTCATAAGGAGCACAAGACATTTTTGTGTATTTTATAAATTTCTGTATAGAATAGTAAATGAATAAAAATGTCCTACTTAGTATTATTCTATCCAAAATATATTATCACTAACTAAATCTATCGTATTTACGTCCTTATTATCTTTACATATCTATAATAATGTAAACGTCTTGCACATTTCAATTTCATTTCATTCTTCATTAGAATTGCAAGTCTATCAGAATTTGAACTACCTATTTTCCAAGCCGTTTTGAATTATAAATATAATTGAAAGATAATCACATTATTAAAATTTAATTCCATTTAATGAAAAATTAAAAGTGAATAAAAGAAACTTATTCGGATTTTGTAATTCACAACAATTTCCTTAAATTATCATTATCAGTCTTAAATTATCATATCAGTCTTCCAATATGATATTATAAATCCAAATTCTCTAATAAATTAATCTGATGATATTTTGTCTCCTAAATTTAGAATAAATTATATTCACATCATAAATATAAAGGACTTTAGTGTGCCAGTTATTTTATTTATTCGTAGAAGTACGATTCGATAGAAGTTAGTTTATTTTGTATCTTGAAAATGATCTTTTATCATAATGAACTCCGAGTAAATGTAAATAAAATGAAATCTACTGATCTTATGCTCTTACCTTTATCTAAAAATTAACTACCTTTCCACAAATCGTCATCAATTTCGAAAATCAATGATACAGAATGAGATGGTCAAATTCAGATACATAAAGCAAATCTAAAATATTCTTACGATAGAATGGAGAAAAGTCTGTAATTGTACTCAACATAAGATAAAAAATGTCTCTTTTGAATCGACATCGACTTGCTTTCTCATCACTTGTAGCGGAGTTCCCGTTTTTCAATTGGAAAGACTTATTCAATCATTCTTTTCCACCTACTCTGTTCTCACGTAAAACCCCTTTATACCTTATCCAGCCAAAATCGTGATCCATTGTGTTTTGAATACTGATTTCCAACTAATGTGATACAACGAAAAAAGTTCCTTCATTATCATTATTATTAGTTGCAATTTTACTAAATGTATAAATTATAAAATATTAATGCATAATTGAGGATATAAGTAAGAGTTCTATTTAAATTTCACTACAAATTATTACTAAGTGTTTTAAAATAAAATATACCATACCCATTCATTAATAATATATTAATCTTCAAGACTATAAGCACATTCAATACATAGCGAACTGATTAGAAAGTTATAATCTATCGAATTCTGATATGTAATTGTAGATACTAATTATGTCCAAATAAATATGTAAATAGATTTCAAAATTGGATTAATAATTCCATAGAAATGAACTAAATGGAGTTTTATCATAAAATTCGTAATTGACATGGTGCGTCGATTATGTAACCAATTAATATTTTCTCTTTAAATATCTAAAATTCAAACTTATGAAGAAAGTTTCGAATCTTGATTTGCATTTTAACGAAACATTTATTGCAATAAATAATATAAATTTTCAGATATTTCATTTTTCGAATCAATTGTCCGTTTACTTTGTACCACATATTTATTTACTATTTAAATAAAGTTTGTGTTCACTTAACCAAATAAAATAGATGCGAATTTTCACATGATACTTTTATGTTTATTACTCGATGTTCTTTACATATTCATGATAATTGATCACTTGTATTTACACAATATTTATTTATGCTTATTGAGAGAAAAGAATGTGGAACGAATAGAAAATTTATGAGAACAAAAAACAAAACAAAAAACAATAGCAAGAATCAGAAAATTTTCAATAGGCTAAGATTAAGGAACCGAATGATTATTTGATAATATTCAAAAAAATAAACTCGATCGAAGGTACATGCCAACTCCAATTCCCCTCGCATATTTATGTTGCCGAAATATTTGAAATATTGAGTAACCATTATTCCAAATATATATTATAATAAATTTTTAAATTTGTCATCGATTTATATTAATTCGATACTGCATTGTTTTAGTTTAAGCTTTAAATAAGATATTTGCAGATACCGACTGCTTTACAACATTACCCATGATTATATAATTTTTGTATTAATTTATTAATCGGTACGGTATATAAATTATGCAATTATGCAGTTCTTTTAATCGTTATATTTAACCAGCTACATTATTCCAAACCCAACAATTGATATGTTATAATAAAAGAATAATTGTCTGATAATATATTCAAATGTCTTACTATTGTCCACAGAATGATGGATGTACTTTATTATATTCAATTAGATCATTGGCGATAAATATATCACCCAGATATATATCAACATAATATACCGATTATCAAATTACTCTTTCAGTTGATTATTGATTAATAACATTACTCCATATATATATATATATATATATATATATATATATAATTCACGTACGTTATAATTGGCTAGACTAGGTAGTTGGTAATTTTAGTCGTAATTAGAAAATCTACTCGTCTTAATGACAAAAAAATCTAATTAATTCGCTAAATCAAGTATAAGCTTTAATAGAAATAAACTACAATTAAAAGAAATTACTTTTTTAAAAGTATGAATTTCTTTTTCTACGCGAAAAATTGAAATTACAAAATTCATAAGTATCGCAGCCAATTTAGCTGGGCTATTTTCATATAATACTCGTCTTTTAAGAAGATAATCATTTGCAAGTCAAGTAGAATCGTGGAATACGAGCAATTATAACGTAACATAACAATAGTGCAACATCCCCTAACCCGTGCAATCGACGTCGACTTCATTAAACCAAGTGCCTGTCCTTATCACTGATTTCCTCGGCTCCAAACAATGAAATCGCCTCCCTGGCTGTTTTTACCCGTTGTCACGCCTCTCTCATCTCAAAGTGCGGGACGCGGGCGTTGACAATCCCCCTTCTTAAATAAAGCCGTTTCCCACGATTACGAGGGTCGGAGAAGACGACTTGACAGCCCGGGATCGCAATCGATAACCCGTTAATCCCAGCCATCCAGAGTTACAGAGGCAGGAGCGGACGCTTCTTCAGCGTCTCGACCGAGGACTCGAGCGTTGACTCGGACGTGGGTGCGACGGCCGCGGCGGCCCTCGCCTCAGCGAAAGGCTCCGCCGGACTCAAAGCGAGCAAGCAGCGCTGGAGCGGCTTCTTCACCAACACCAAGGGCACCAAGATGGAGTTGCTGGTCGAGCAGCTTAACGGCTACACGAAGCATGGCGTGCCAAGGCTACCCGAAGCGCAATTGTCGCACGAGCTCGCGGTCAGCGAGGAAGGTACTGTATCGCTTTAACGTCCTAAGCGAATAAGTTAGATGGGCCGGAGGGGCGGGGAGGGGGGGCACAAGTTGCAAGAGAGTTGTCAAACACCTCTCTGGACAAATCTGGTCCAGTTGATGTGATTTATGATATTGAGCAGGTGCGCCGGGCTTGACGGATGTATGTTTTAAGGGCAGACATGAGACTTTGTAACAAAATAACAACAACAATAACTATAATAATAATAGCAATAATAATAATAATAATAATTACAATAATAGTAATATTAATAATAACAGTATAAATGAATGATCAAATGTTTCATTTCTTGTAATAGAACCTGGCAATCATTAATTTGCCATCTATAGAAAAATTCTAGTTTGTAATTATTCAAGCTATATGTCGTATTAATATTTTCCCAATCGACCGCAGCTTTTTATTCCTTAATCGACTATAAACATATGTGGGTATTACTTGCATCATTGACTGCTAAAAAATTACGAGTAATGGAAATGGGTAATTAGCCTCAAAACCCGAACGCTTACATTATAAACCAAATATTCGTCGTTTAAAAATAATGAGAAATTATACGGAATAAATATAAAATTCAACAAAGACGTGAGACTGTATTCGAAAATATCTTGAAATAAATTTTAACGAATTTAGGGGTTACATTAAATATAATAACGTTAAGTTAGATTATTTCTATTCTGAATATTAATCGTATACTGTATCCTATTAAGAACTAAATGCTTAAACGTACGAATAATATAACTCAGCAGCCATCTTATAAATTCAATATTTAAAATAAATACAACTTTGATATCCTTTTTAAAATGATAAAATTTATATTTTTAAATTTGGATGTCATTAAATTAATTAAAATATCTGCAATAAATTTCAGGTCATAATATCATTGTCGCTACTAAATCTGAACAGAAATATTCTTTTTGCTTCATCATTTATTTTCAATCCGATTAAGCTGATGATTTTTTCCACTATAAGCATAATAATTATTCTCTATTTTAATTGTATTGCACGAATATCTTCAAAGATACTTCAATAAAATAAATTACTTAAATTTTTAATAAAATATTTTTTAAACTTTAATTTAGAATATGAATTATTTGCCAATTGCACTTATTACAGCGTGTAATGGATATTGTTAAATATAACAACCTCAGTGGTTTTCCGAGTATTTCTGTAAATATTAATTATATTTATAGATAAATTAATTGAATAATTTAAAATAGCTTATTGTCCAAAAATTTCAACAACCATTTAAAACCTAGAATTTTACATATTAATTTTAAATAATCTCGAATTTTTTCATAAATATGTGAATAAAGTTTTCATTAAATAAATCATGAATGCAAGTGAAAGGAAATATTGGAAAAAATAAAAAGTAGAAAACAAATTTTCTGTTAAAACTTACTTTAATCAGCATTATAACTTTATTTTAATTTGAAGAAAAAAATATAAATATCTTTCTTTACAATATACTTACGTCTTTGTTGCTGAAAATTAAAACAATCCTGCGTTCTTTTGTCCACAACGAATAATTCGAATACTTATATTTAACTTTATCGTACTATATCCAAAATTTTCTCTAATTTCCCTTTGAACTAATATATCTGGATAATATTTTCCCACTCTTTGATATATAACATTATTTTCATTGAATACGTTACCGGTGATAATTATTTTAATTGCTTTATGAATATAAATACTTAATTTCTTAATAAGACGGAATATAATTAGGTACTGAATCTCTCTATATTTACTAGAATACAAGATTGAAACAGTGATATGGTAATAGCTAATTTATAATGATAATACTGCAAATTCATACTGAAATACACAGAAGTACGCTTTAATTGAGAGAGAAATTTTTCATCTGAAAATCAACAAATTAAAGATTTTTTTCATCATCATTGTCAATGAGGTGTGTTAGAAAAATTTAAAATGATAAACATACTACGTATAAAGATGATATTATATAACTGTATTATATAATTTACCAAAATAGATTTATGAAATTTTGTTTTATTATTAAATTAAATATTCTTTTTCCCTTAATTTTCAATTAAATTCTTTTTACTAAATACATGGAGATTTGTAATCAATTTTCATTTATCTTATCAAACTTGATAAATATTCATCTTTGACGTACTAAAACTTTACATTTATGCTGCAATTTTATGCAAGTGTAGTTGCCCAATTTGTTCCTATATGCATGTAAATAATTAACAAACTATGACTAAAATCTATCAGTTTTTTTTTTTATTTATTTTTAATACTTATGACAATTTTTCCCATTTTCAACAATGTTTAAAGAAAGTCCATTATGTCCTTTTATTTTCTAATCGCTTAGATATTTTGATAATATACACGAGTGCTTTTTAAATTGAAAATTATTCGCATATTTATTTATAACACAAGAATTATTTTAATTATCTAATTATTAATAAACTTGGTTTCTTTATAAAAATGTTTAATTGAAATAATGATTATATATATTTATATATATATTCAGTTAGTTCATTTAGTTCAAATACTTTTCTTTCTTTTATTATTCTTTCATTGATTGAAAAGCCCAACTTTTCGTATTATATTTATTATAATGTTAATATTTTAAAATTTAATATTTTATTTGGTTCAACTAGCAGTAACATTAATTTCTAACTTAATTTATAAATATTTAAGGTGTACTGTTTTCCATATAATTGTAGAAGTTTCGAAACACATATTGTATGAATATAATTAAATCCAAATTCCATTCTTTGTTTTAATCAAAGTAATCTCAAAAGATATTTCAATTTATCTATAATACATAAGAATTTGTTAGTAATTTTATTAATATTGTTAAAATCTGATCTTAAATATTCAGGACCTCACATTCAATTTTGTTTTTATCTACCAGAGTTATTTCAATACCGCCTGCTAATAAAAATTCAGCAGTTTTCAATTGCGATTTTCCCACTCGCTCTATTAAATCTAGATTATCTACATGGACTAAAGGTTGAGTCACATGATTTATAGACGTTGCTGCTTTATCAATTTATTCTGAATATAAGGAATTTATAAATACTTTAATTGGAGCAATTTTGTTAATAATTTTCCTTTAAATCATTATGTTTATTAAAACTGACATAAATATAAAATTGAAATTAAATTAATATTTTTCTATCCATAGTTAGAATCATAATATTCTTCATTTTTATTCATATTTACTGAATTTTTTTTTTTTTTAACAACCAAATATTTTTTGCAGATAACTGCTCAATTAACTACATTTTATAAAAAAAAAACAAACAATATAATCTAATTATCTTTCATTATATTTATTACAAAACGTTTTATATTAAAAAACCGAATAATAGTTTAAAAATTAATAATTTAATAATAATAGTTTAAAATGTAGTAGTTAATAAAGAATAATGAAATTCTTTCTTTTCATTGTAATAGTTATATGTTATATTCTGAAGACTATTAAATATAAATTTATATATAATTAAATTATTTATAGATCCAATTTTATCGAATAATTATTTACATTTTCTTGAAAAATACAACTTCTGAACGCGAGAATAACGTAATGTAAATTTTTTAATAATATATCATTATATCATCATGTTGAATGATATTTTTTAACTATAAATACATCTATTACATAGTGTATCAAAAGATTTACAAATTATCTTATATACTTTTACATTAAAAATAAATGTTTATTCCATCTATAGTACTAAGAAAATTAATAAATACTTTTGTTGTGTGTTTTATATCTCGCAATGACTTTCTTTAATAATAGTTTCGAATTCTTTTTACTTTAAGTTTTCGTATAAAATCAATATTGAACTATTTTACTCTCGTACGTGAAAAATCATTTGAAAATTTATTTCTGTTTATAAAAATTATTTCTTGATCATTGTCTTTTATAAAAAAATAAAAAAAAAACTTCACTTATTTATTCATTAGTTATTATTAACGATTCTGTATGATAATGAATCTTGTGAAATGTTAAAAAATAGAAACGTAATTATATACTTTAATTATTTCGCGTATTTTACTAATAATTGTATATTAAAATTAATCCACTCCCAGATTCAATATTCATAATAGTTAATTTCATATTTCATATATTTGATTATTTTCTATATATCTTTCATGAATTTTCTTTCAATTATTCAAGAAGAATAATCTATCGTTTATCATGGTATTATATTCAGAATTTTAATTTAGATTGAAAACAATTTAATTAGTGAATAAACGTTAAAATTATATGAATAGATTAGTAAACACATGCTTATTCAAGATAAAATTTAAGTTATCTTATTTTTTATAATCATATAAATCCAAGAATGATATAATAAATATGTAATTATTAAACTAACTTTAATTTACCAATTATCTTCTACTTTCAAATTAAATGTATAGTTTCAAATATTACTTAGAAAATTATCAAATAGAAAATAAAAATGTTTTCAAATTTACTTATTGGTAATATTTTCAATTACATGCATTTATATAATCTATGTTATTTTTTATTCTTCGTGTAATTAATATTTTCGCTATTTTAGTTTAGTTTTGCTTGCGATATAATTTAATAAATGTCAACTGATTTTAACTACATAAATAAAGTAAATAATTATGAATGATTTGGACGTATATTTATAATAACATAAATAAAATGGATTTTATCTAAATATAGAATACTTTGTCAATTCACACACCGACTTTAATTTTCAAACTTAATATTCATTGGTAAAATTATGATTCTTAAACATCGATTGAAAATAAAATTATTGTACAATTTATCACTCATTTAATGAATATTACTAATTCATCTACATTCATTTATCTAAATTATACTTTTATATAAGTTATTTTTCATAATATTCGGAGCAGTGCATGTAATTAATTTTCTACATCTTACGTAAATGGAATCATTGCTTTTTGTAATCTTCGAATGAAAGTTCTTCATTTAAATTCTGCTTTCACAATCACCGTTTCGACACTTATGTATAATGATCTTGCATTTACAATTTTACGAAAATTCGATACGTGTCAGTATTTGAATTTCTTGAATATAGTTATTTCATTCCTATAATTTTTTAGGCGACTTTATATTCGATTTACCATTGCCCTGATTCTTCCTCACTAAATACGTAATTAGGAAATGAAGGCGGAAGTTGTAGTTCTGAGAACGAGATAAATGATAAGGAAAATAAAGGAAAAAATCAAGATGAATGAAGAGAAAATGGATAAAATGATTCAGAGAAAATAGGAAAATAGAGAAAGAGGGAATGTAAGTGAGAAAATGAATACTAGAGTGCATGATAGAAGAAAATAAATACAGCTACAATTAGAAAAAGATGGACAGAAAGAGCGAGAGGGAGAGAGAGAGAGCGAGAGAGAGAATGAAAAAAAAAGAAAAAACATAGTAAAATAACTCGTCTAGCCAAGTTTTATTCTCCTCAGTTGAGAAAATCAATCTTACAAGCTTATTTGAACAAGGCCAACTTGCATAAAATAATTTCTAGTTTCAGGATAATTGCATAAAATGAAATATCATTTTTGTTTCTGTTGAAAAAGATTGATTTTAGATAAGAGATTGGAAAATGTAAAGGAAAATAAAAGGAGATAGAATAAAAGGGTCGGGGAAAGACATCGCTAAGTATTAATATGTTCCATATGATTTTAGTCATTATTATTTTTATTTTCTAAATAAATAAAATAATGTAAATAAAATTAATGAGAAATGATCGATAAGTTTTTTATTGCTGATATTATTTGAGGAAGCATAGATTTAGAGTCAAGCATGAATGGAAAGTTTATATATATATATATATAAATAGTTTTCTCAAAATACAATTAAAAAATATAATTATTTATACTTATTGAATAGAAAAATATACGATCTAATATAAGATATAATACAACAACAATAATAATAGTAATAATAATAATAAATAATTTCATGGACGATAACTTGCAAAATTAGCTATACAAAATATTGGAAAATATATCTTACACTGAATTAAATTTAATTTTAAATTAAAAGATGGAAATTTTTATGAAGCAATATCCTATATAGATAATAAATTTAAATCGTTGGATAGTTAATAAAGCCTGGTTTGAAGATTATTTTATTAAAAAAAATTTTATTGAATCATTAAGGATTTTCAAATCCTTCACTATATGTGCAATTCAATGATTAAATGATACATTAACTGTATTTGTAATGTTGGGCAGTATGGATATTGAAATTTTTACAAAGTTTATAATTTCATTCAGTCCCATTGTCATTATTATAGAAGAAAATTATTTTTAAATTGTTAAAAAAGAAACTATTCCCTCCTTCTAGTGCTCTTCAGTCTTGAAAATGATTGGCGAAACATAGTTGAGAATTCAGAACTTCTTAGCGAAAAGCAGCAGCAGCAGCAAACGGCCCTCTGGGAGTTGGCACAAACTGAAGTGGCTTATATTAAAACGCTGAAAGTCGTGACCGACGTAAGTATGTCTGGCCTACCCCCAAACAAGGATAAATTCTTATCGATATGTCAATAATCTATTTCGCGGAGATACTTTACCATGTAACGTTAATTAACCTATTATCACTAGAATGTTCGTTCAGCTTTGATATAATTCTTATTACATAATATGTAAAGGGGTAATTTGTTGTAGGATGGTAAATTGCCTACCATTGTCTTACTCACTTCTTATCATTTCGGTAAAAATTGTAAAATACAACTTTATAAAATGCTTAAAGAATGCTTTATGAAACGTACGAATGGGATTTTTCTGAGTAGGATTTATTTTGAAATATACATTTATCATCGGAAAATGTAATTTCAACTTTGCTAATACATTAAAGTCAATATTGTATAGTAACTTTATAATTGTTAATACTAATTCATTGGTAAAAGTGATAGTTCATATATTATAAATTTTAGCTTTTTTAAGATGCTTATTTGCGTTACTTTAGTGAATTTTTATAGGAAATTGAATATTATAAAAAGGCAAATAATTAAGGCGAGTATTAGTTTGAAATAAATTTTACAAATATTTTTCATTATGCTAAATAAATAAATAAATAAATATGAATTAAGAAGGAAAGCATTTCTGTTAGAGATCTTTTATAATCTATAAATCTCCTAATATAAGAAAATAAAATACAGTACTTGTTTCTTCATATACATACTGAGTCCTTAAAAAAAGACATATAATACAAAAGTCCTACGTTGTAGGACGTTGTACATTGTAATAGTAGTTATTCCGAGTTTTAATAATATAAACATAAATTCGCAAGCAAAAGTAATGTTTAATCATATCTTTATGTAAATAAAAATAGTATTGATAAAAATAATACTTATTTCAAAGCTTGTTTTTCTTTATAAAATATCGTTAACCAGTTTTATATACTCTTGAGAAAAAATAGATAATGTAGACAATAATTGAATGTAAAATTATATAATCTCAGAACAAACCAAACGTATAAAGTATGAATAAAGTAAAGGAATTAATGCATATTAATAGTTTAATCCTGTAATAATGTAAGGAACAAATGCTTCGTACTTAAAAAATTTTTCATCTTTATGATATCGATATATCATATATTTTTATTTATAATCTCTCTTACGTACTAAATTTATACAATAATTTATCGTGATACATACAGGTGTAAAAGTTTCTTTTATTAAGAATTTTAATTTTTAAAAAATATAATCAACCATTCGAATTTTATGTATTAAAAGATGAATTTTTTGTAAAGATTTTTTAAAAATTTCAGTGACGATCGTTAGAAAATAAAAAATTTTTCGCCAATGTGTAAGATATAAAATCTTTTAAATTTGTCAAATTGCACCTGAATTCTAAACAAAGAAGACTTCCTGAAGAATGCAATCAACGCTTACAGCGTCCTATATTGACGATTAAACTTAAAACAATGTTGCATAAATTTTATTTACAAATTTTGACCGACTTTCGTTTTAACGCCCTATCCAAGCCAAAGCATGTAAATTTTAATGCATTTTAACGTAAAATTCGAGCATTCATCTTCGCTCGACAGGTTCTATATCCTTTGACTATTTCCCCTTCCTAACGGATAAGTTTAAAGAGCATAAAAATCGATGGCCGTTTCAGCTCTTCATGGCTTGCTTGTGCGGTCTGCAGGCCTCGAATATCCTGAACGAAGTCGACAGAACAAAGTTGTTCAGCAACATACCAGAAATCTATGCAGCCAACCTATACTTCTGGACGGAGCACATACTTGCAATGCTACATGTATCCCGCTCAACGCGACAGGCCCTCGACCCTGGCCATCTACTCCAGGGTTTCGAAAACTTTGAGAAGATATTTGCTCCGTATACGAGATATTGCTCGGAACAAAGCAAATGTCAGCAATACTGCCGGGACCGATTCAACGACAATGATCTATTCACAGCCTACCTTGTGGTAACTCACTTTTTACATGCCGATCAATGTTCGTTGTTACTTTATTATTCCTTAAATGCAGTCAGAATTAAATAATTGGTCATCGAGAATATTCATTGGAATGAATATTCAAGGATTGGCTAAGAGATTCGTATCGCAAACCGCAAATGAACATAAATGGTCGATTTATTCTCTTTAGCGGCGATTCTATCGTGTTTTCTAATAATGCATAATAGAGTTTAGCAAAGTTGTTGATTATGGTAGGGCATGATATTACACATTCTCAACTTACATCCACGACATCATTTGCTTTCTTCGTAACGATGATTAATCGCCCTTATGTAAATTCGTAATGGTAAGAGAAAATGTACGGCTATTGTTTTTGCTTTCAACGACCGTTGTACATCTATGTATTAGATATTTAATATTTCATTATCTAATACGAGCTGCTCCTTTACGATGTATTATCATAAATTCGATGCGCCATGTATGAAGCTATCAATATTCATGATTTCTTATGCTTTATTAATTGCAGTGGTGCGAGACTCAAAAAGATTGCAATCGTTTAAGGCTACTTGATATATTGGTTAAGCCAATGCAAAGAATAACAAAGTATTCCCTTTTGTTGAAAGCTGTTCACAAAAATACGGAATATGAAGATCAGCGACTCGAGTTGACTATAATGGTAAGTGAGAAAGGGAAAAAAATGCGTAAGATCTGTTTTAGAATTATTAATGCATGCAATACTACGCATTATAGCACATTATAATTCTATCTATGCTACAAAGTTCTACTTGTAAAAACATTATTAAACAATTTTATTTTAATATTTCCTTGACAATATGATGCTGTATTCAATTCAATACAATTGATGAATATGATGAATTCAGGTATATTCAGGAATATGATAAATTCATTCGTCAAGGCAATATGATGAATTCAATACAACATTACCGATATTTATGGAAATGTATAACTTTGCAAAAGCTACATTTATTTATTTGTCAATAACAAAACTTTAGTCGTAAAATATATTAGATAATATTGATAATAACGATTATACTCCAATCAATAATATAACAATACGGATGTTTTTCTTCTCTTTTTTCTTCTTGATACAATACGAAAATTTAATTTATATTTACGATTAACGACTAATATTGTATATACCTTGTTGCTTAATAAACATTCAGGCAACAGTTATTATTCCCAAGCACTTATAAAACATTTCTTCTATTATTTCAATCGGTCAGTTTATATGGAAATACAGTGTTAAATTTGCTTAACAATATTCTTTATTTACAGAGTTATAAGATAAGAATAGATTTCAATTATATAATCTTAATTTAGTATGCTCGTTATAAATTTTCATTCCCTATTCAATATAATCTGATATAATATTTCAGTTAATTTGAATGAGGACTGAATTCTGTCTCATTAAAATTTATTAATGCAAATTAATAAGTATTCCTGCTAAAATCACGCGTAGCGCATTTAAATAGTAGATCATTTAACGCTACTAATGAATGTTGTCTAATGCTGCAAATCCTCAATTCATAATTGATCAAAATAATGCCACTTTTAAATCAAAATTTATCGATGATTATTATATTTTCTGAAATCTGATGAAATTCGAAAATGCAGATTAGCCAAGAAAGACATCCTTTCAACAACATCCTAAAATTATTATTATTCTATTATAAGTCTACTTAATTATAATGCTAACGTTAATTACGGGGGAAGTTATAAGCTCACCGAATGAATATAAAATTAAATAAAGTCAACGTTTACAAACACCTTACATTCCAAATATCTTGAATAATAATATAATTAATCTTGTTGTCCTTAATTACACTCAAGGCAATATACGTCATATTCAGGTAATTTTAGACCTCTTACTTTTTTTAAATCTTTCAATTCCGAATACGTAGATCAAATCGGTAGACACTTTCGTGGCGTCCGTGAATGCAGCGATGCGTCGCAGCGAGGAAATGGCACGACTGGTAAGTGCAGCGTCACGTCTGGATAGTTATGACGTCGTAGAGTCGCGGGACGAGGAACTAGAGAAGCTCATCAAATCTCACAGCAACTTGGATATTATAACGGCCCCGATGCCCGGCTGCCCCAAGGACACGCTTAGAACTCTAGTGCGTGAGGGCGATCTAAAGTTGCGGGACTCGGCAACTAGCAAGGTAAGGAAGATCTTACGCATTCGTGCCGTGCACGAGCTAAGCGAATCGATTGATTTTCCCTTTAAAGCCATACTATCAATTATCTCAATTACTCTCTAAGCAAATTGTCAATACTGACGATGCAATGAGATTCGAAGACTTTATTTTGCATTAATTACTATCTAAAGTTGTTCAGTTCGACATCAATATAACAAGCTCATATAATAAATAATTGCGATTATAGAAAAGTGTGTGATAAATTTTAATTGGTCGATGTACATGTAAATTGGATAAATTTAGTGTTTTTGACATTTTTTCAATATTGTATTGATCGAATTTATTTAAGGCACTGTCGAGCTAAGATCTTTCAAAGCTTTTCTATTATTCTTATCTCTGTACTCCACGTTCTCTTATTTTCATGCATCGAGCTTTCAGCTAAAAACTCTTTTTACATTTCAGAAAAGGTAAAGATGAGCCAAATTGTGAAAGCAGTAAAATATTTTAAACGTAATTTCAAAAAGTTAATCTTTAGTTATTTTTCTTATACATCGATTTATTTATTTATGTTTATTTATATTTTTTAAATAATAATTGATCGTATAATACAGTTTTGCCAAAATGCATTGTCAAATATTTTTATAATCTTTGAAAATAAAATACCTATTTATGTGATTTTGAAGGGCACTCATACACATTAATATGCATGCATTCGCATAATTAAATTTGAATAATGACTTCGAAGTAGCTTGGGCTTACATTTATTAATATAATTTATTTTATTTTTATAAAAAATTCTCACATTTTTGACGATGAATGAAATGTTTAGCAATAATGTTTTATTTTTTAAATTATTCATACAAAATTTTCAACTTAATGTACCTCGACCATTCATGTATAATAATATATTTTCAACAAAATATATTAACTTCCATTAAAAATTATCTTTAATGCATTTAAATTGAACAATAAATGTATGCTTAATTATCCTTTTTCTCACAATGAACTTCGACGCATTACTTAGTTTTCTGAAAAACTATTATAAATTCTTTATATTTAATGAACTGAACGAAAAGAGATATAATATAAAGTCGAAATCATTAATATTAATGATTGAATTGCTTAATTGAGTATACATAGATACAAGGAATATTATCTTTAAAAAATTATTCATAAATAATATGATCAAAATACTTTTATACTTGACTTGATGTTATATTAAGATTGTTAGAAAAATTATTTCTTTATTAATTCCATTAATATCAATAGTCATCACTAATATTTAAACCTGTAATAAAAAAAATCAGGAATTAAATTTAATTGTACGATTATAAAATAACTTTATTATATTTTCCATTTAACGATTTAACGTTACAAAATCCTTTTGAAATGTGTCGAATAAGAATTATTGCGTTATGAATTCAATAATAAAAATTGCATACCATAAATTTTTGCATACCATAAAATTTCAGATGGTTCATGGAAAACAAATATATATATATATATATATATATATATATATATATAATGATATTTGTATTTAAATAGTTATTTAGTATTAATGGTATACTCCATACATGTTTATTCTTAATTTTATTGCCATATGAGGAAGAATAATCAGAAACCAAGAAATTAATTTAAAGAATTAAAATTTAGTTCTGTCCATCAATTTTAAATTTACATAATGTTTAATGTCTTTGCAAATAAATAAAAAAATAAATACACTTAAGTATTAAAAGCTATCTCCAAGATCGAATCAACAGTTTATTGTCAATTTAAGTCGTATATTAATTTCTATATTATACATTCATCAATAAATATAAAAAATAGGTCATTATAGAGAGCACAGCGTGCTAAAAAACTTTGAGTATAGATAAACAAAAAGTAAAAGAAAAAAAATATTGATATATGATGATGATGATGACGGTGAGTCACTTTCGAAGTAACAAAAATTATTTTTATCCGAGATCGATATTTTTTCATATGAATACACAATCGGGTATAATTTCTCTTAAGTATGATTTTAATATTTGACAAACAGGAGGTGGGGTTGAGAAGGGCTGAATATCGTAAATTACAAACAATTAATTACAACATTAAATACTAATAATGCAATGATTCTTTAAGTATTTTCATTATAATGATTTTTTGTTGATTATGCTTTAGTATTATTGCTCGGCGCTCGTCGTAAAATAGACTTACGATTTTAAATAAAGATTGGCAGTGAGAATTCGAAGTAAAAACCGTTTACATGAAAATTTACATGGAAAGTATGGCGATTACACTAGACAACACGTGAGGAACGTCATTATAATTACTATGATAAATTCACGTAAAAATTAATCCTGCAAAACTTCAAACAAATTATTTTAAAATAATCAACTTTACAGTCAAAGTATATGTAATACCAGTCTGGATAACTCGGCTTATTCCGAGAATTTGCATATTGCATTGTAGTCGGATTCGAAAATATTGAGCGACAATGAAATAACAACATTCACGACTTATCGTACACGATCGGGAACTGAAAAATCTCCGATCCTCGATGCATTAAGTCATCCATCCACGTATCCCTTTCCAAGCATCCGACAACTACCGCCAATTCCGAGGAGCAATAATAATTAAAAGGCACACTCTCGCCGAGGCCATAAATTCGGTTTTTCGGTTAGATGGAGGTGCACGTGCTACTACTCACGGACATGATGCTGATTTGCAAGCAATCAACGAAGAAAGCCTCGTCGAGCAGCAGCTCGGGCGGTACAACCGGTGGCCTCAAAATAATTCGCCAGCCCTACGTTGTCGACCGCATACGCGTTCACGAGCTAAAGGAAGCCTCCAGCCTCGGTTTGGTCTACCTCAATGAGTACGGCGCGGCTTCGGCGGCCCTCGTCCTCAGCGCCGGCGAACCCAAACTCGCCAAGGTACGTATGCGCGAGCGAGCCTTAGATGTTCTTACGAGGCCCGGATAATCTATCTGTCTATATAGCTAATGGACGGTTAAAATTCATAGTAATCTTTTTTTAATATGTGATTCGCTTTGGCGAAGCAATTAGCACGTGATTAAATTAGTTGTTAAAAGGAGCTGTTAATGAGGTCGAGATCATCGAGAAGCAGCTACGAGTGTTAAGATCAATTTATTTACAAAGCGTTTGGAGCATGTTTTTTCACTACTTCTATTTTTTTTGCTCTTTTTTTCTTTCCTTTCATATTAATCGCGAACTAATAATGACAGATTTTTCATTAATTAGGAAAAACAATCGCCTCGTTGTCCTTCCTCGTATATTGATGGCAATGAAATATGTCGGAAGGAACTTTGAAATATTGCCGGAATTTCGGCCAAATTACAGCCAAACATGTCAAAATAGAATAATCGCCGCACAATGTCAGAGCTACTGATAATTAAACGTGCATATATTCTATAAATTGATAATGTATCGGTATTTCGTGAGGATTCGCGAGTATTAAGAAGATGAAGAAGAAGCATCAATCACGAGAATTTACGATATCGACACCAAATAATAATAATTAATATTTTGAGAAAAAATCATCTTTAAAAACCAATATTGCAATTTAAGAGTGACATATGCAATTATAAATTGATATATTAGAGCTTACCACGTACTTTTATAATTTAAAAATTAGATTACTCGCTCAATATTATGTCGCAGTTCGTAGGGCTAATTAAGCGCAATGGGATGACATCGAATTATTTTAATGGACAATATCCGGCTAAGGAAGTGGCAAACGATTGGAGGGCTGAGCGAGTCAATAATAATATCGCCTTCCCTTTGAATCCTTTTAATTAATAGAACAAAGCCTTAGTAGCACATCATTTATCAGATATGCACGATTGCCAAGAAGCATAATTTGCACCACATAATAATAAATTATCGGCGTCGGTATAGTGAATTGTCCAAGTAGAAATCTTCTTAGGGACTCGCATTCGTCTAGAAAGGCTTATATTATTGGTCGCTCGATTGGAAATTGACGACTGAAGAAGTACGGGCTTCCGCTCGATTAACCTTGAAAACGTTTTGAGAGCACAAAATTTCAAATGTCCGCAGTCGTGGATGGAGTCGATAAGGAAAGCGCAGCAGCAGCTAACAACGCTAAAGCTACCAATATTGGGCAGTTCGTTGCCGTTAAGCTCGGTTAGCCGTCAAGCGAGTACGTACTTGGGAGATGGAGACTTCGACCTGGAGGAGCTCTGCGAGGGCATGCCGAGGACGCCGCGCGGCAGTAGTCGAGCCTCGCGTGTGAGCAGCCTCGCGCACAGTCACAGGTGCGTAATCGCCTTCGAGCGACTTAATTAGCTTGCGTGCTGCAGGTAAACTGCACGGCGAATGTAAATTCAAGAACGGAGATGATTGGGAAATTACTAAGGAGATGCCGTCGATTACTTAGAATGGCAAAGGTTTACTTTTTAAAGCGCGCTTTTCATATTGAATAAATTAAATTGTAGAGGATAGTGTAAAATATGCTTGAGTGAGATATGCGATGCAAGGATAATAAATAGTTGGAGATATTTGCGTGAATACGTCATGGTGTGATAGGTCGGTGATAATTTGATTAATTCAATTTTAATATACGGTAACCTACTAGTTCGCATTTATTAATATCACATTATTTATTTCTTGTGACATGGATACGAAACAACGCTTTGAACGAATATTTTGGAAATTCGATTAATTTAAACCACGTGTTGTTGAGTGAGGTCCCGTGATATAGAAGGAAAACTCAGTCTAAATTGAAGATCCACAGATAGTTAATCTAATCCGAATGTGACTTCGTGCCGATACAATTAATTGTCTTAATCAATGCAAAATAAGGGTAAAATCATAAAATCACTAAGACCCGCATGCATAAAGTCCAAATTTTATAAAATAAAATGTTTAACGCTCTCACATTGTTTAAAAATATAACTCTATAAAAAACGTATTTCCAAATTGTTTTGATTTAAAAATTAAACAGACGTCCGCAGTTATTAAATTCACACTTGTTTACAATATTCTAATTTATGTACGAAATTTTTTTTTTTTTTTTTTTTTTATATCGTACAAAAATTCAAAGGAACTCAAATACATGCATAAATGTATATATGCATGCTTAGTGCGCGTGCGCATGTGTGCGTGCATGCGTGTGTGCGTGTATGCGCGTGTGCGTGTGCTAGCGCGCATGCGCGCCACACTCATCTATTTTATTTTAATAATTTTCGTAATAACCAGGAGATAATAATTTTTTTTTAATAATTTTTATTCTATGAATTTATCAGCATAATATTCTTTTTCAATTTTCAAGAAATGTGTCAATCCATACAAATTATTTGTCTTAAAATAATAAATTATTCCAATGGAAATTTGAATAAACCTTTACGTAACATTGAAGTATAAAAGCTGAAATAAATTCAATCTCAGTATTTTTCAAGAATGAAACCTTAATTCATTCTCACAAAATCTTTCTGAAATATTAAAAATTAAAGGAAATTGGTATTTTCACGAAAATGAATTGTATTTGGATCATTGTAATATTATCCTATGATATAAAATTATCTTGAATTATTAAATATATTTCTAATGCAAAAACAGACTGTAATTGCCATTATAATACATCGAGTGATAAACAAAATTTTATTTGAACGCTCGGAGGTAAAATTTGCAATAATTTTTACAACATCTACAATAGCTTATTTTAGAAATATTAGTATTTAACGTAATGTCTTATCATTATACTCGCGTTGGCACATACATGAGCATAACCATTGAATTAAGAAAGTATCGTTGCACTTATCAGCAATGCAATTCTGAGGATAAATTGTGCTTTTACGATTGGCCACGTATGATAATTGCTCGAAGAAAGCCAGAGTCGTCTTGGACTCTACAACTACAATTTATCAGTTGGCTCTCATAAGGTTACGAGACCATTAGCATTAACACCGCTCCATCACCCCAATAACCCAAAACTCGCTTCTTTACGCGACAACGTCGACGATCAGACCGCACCGCTCTATTAAAAAAAGTTTGTCACTCTAAAGCGGCAGCATGGAGATGGAGGGCGCCTCACCAGCAAGCAGTAACTTTCTGCCAAGTTACAATCCAAGTCGTAATGTAAGCGTCGAGACGACGGAGCCACCCCGAGCATCGAGCGTCTCGTCCGAGGAAGGCACGGACTCGGCCGCCCTGGGCGGGCACAATCACCGGCAGCTGCACATCAGGTGACACCGAGCGCATCCATTAGCATACGCCGCTCCAGCCTCTGCCTTGTTTAGATTCTTTGCCTTTGCGCGCCTGAAAATATATTTTATATTCTGAAATTTCCTTTAATTGTCGCACTTGGCCAGCGAGATTCCCTTGCGGCTCTTTGCTTTTCTTGAGCTTGCTGGGCTGTCTGTATTGTATTATTATTTACCGTTTTTGTCGTTGCACGGAGAGAGTTGCGCATCGACCCTACTGGCGGCTTTGCATTCCAGTATATTTGCGGTGATGCGCCATTTCTAAGTAGTAGTTTTTTTTTAGTGACTGCGTAAGTAACCCATGAAAAATTTATGAAATTTTTATTAAAAGCAACAAATATCTTATCATAAAGTCGTATTGTGAAGGCATAAGCAGAAGAGGTATATGCTCTATACGCATGTAAATATATAAAGGATCTTTTGTTGTGAAATACTTTGATGGGGAAACGGGAAAATATTTTTCAGGTGGTGAAAGATAGCTTGAAGAGTAATTTTACGCATCATTAAACGTGCATATTATTTTTGTAGAAATAATATATTTCGAAATACTGCAGTTAATAAAATATAAACGAAAATGGGATATGTTATATAACACATTAAATCTGTAGAAATACTTTACACGAGTTGTAAAAAAGAAAAACTTGACGTCAAATATGAATTTATATGAATGAATACCTTGTGTTAAAAAAGCTTTTGTGCAGAAGATTATTGTATTTAGAAAATGACGGTTGAGATAAAAATTATGAACAAAAGAAAATTCTAAGTCTATAATATATATAGTATATTATATATTTTCAAAATACTTCTTTTAATGTACGTCAATATTTAATTTGACGTGATCTCACCTCTACGTATCTAATAGGAATGATATTTACTATCTCTACGTATTTACTAAATGATATTTAGAGTAATTTTTATAAATTTTTAAGAATGTATATATATATATATATACTATAAAAACGTCATTATCCATGTTGAAAACCATTTTTACAATTTTCTAAAAATGGTTTTCAACATGGATAATGACGTTTTTATAGTACCGTTAATCATAAAATATATCAACATATGTAGTGTTAATAAATATAAATAATGTATAATAATCTCATATTTTGTTTTACAAATTTGTATTTAAAATAGTTGAAAAGAAATGCTAATGCTGTTAAAACTTTTAGTTAGAAAACTCTGTTCCATATGTTTCAAGTTTCAAAGATTACTCATTATTAGTGGAAAAATTTACTATTATATAAAAAAAAATATGCAATACTTTTTGATAAATGCACTTATACGTATCAATAATAAGCATTAACTTTACGATTATGTGAGTATTAGATTATTTTTTATCATTATTATCAATTTTTCATTGGTATATTAAAATAATTTATAAACAAAAGATTTTTTAATTTCTAGGTTGAATGTTAAGTACTATCTGAATACGTTAATTAATTGCCATTGTTTAATATATTTCCTTTACTAAAATTACTCTTCTATCATAAATAAATATTATGTAGTACTTAGAAATTTTTTTGCATTTAAATCATGTACGTACAATATATGTAGTTTTCCCCTTCTTTGTAATAAATTCCTCTCTTCTTCGTAATAAATGTTACATACTCACATAGTGACAGGTATAAATATGCGTATGCGCACGCACACGGATATTATTATTATTATTACTTTATTGCTGTTGTTATTGTTATTGTTACTGTCAGTGTCCTTATCAATTTTATTGTTAAAATGATTGCTCTAGTTATCGTTTGTTGTTATTGTAGTTCTTGTTATTAATATATGCAAAATTTTTACTACTAATACTATTTTTGATTATTTTAATTGTGCTTATTGTTGCTTTGAAATTATTTAAACTAATGAATTTTATGTTATGGTAGGCAGTAATTCACTAAATTATTATGAATAAGTGAAAAGTTTAATCAACTATAATGTAAAACATCAATTTTGTACAATTATTATTATAATTCCTACATTATTTTATAATTGTATTATAAATATTTAATATAAATAAACTATACACTATTTTAATTATAATAAATTTTTCCAAATACAATAAGGAATTAAATTTTGTTTATATTATTTTCATTTGAATTAATGGTATATTCTTTTAGTAATTGTGTATATTATGTTTTTGCATGTAAGTAAAATAATACCGAGAATGTTTTAGTCCTATTATAAACGTGAATTCGTGCCATCTGCGATATTTTTGTAATTGTTATATAGATATAAGATTTATTATAAAACACAATTCTAGAATTAATTTGTATGAAATTCGAACGTGACAGAAGATTATGTATAAAGTATGTTGAATAAAAAATAAAAATGGCTTTGTAAAATGCAATTCTATTTTAAGTGAGAAACTATTTTATTTGAGTTTGTTAAAATAGCTCATTATAAAAGAGAGAAGAAATATCTTCATCTGATAGTTTCATTTCATATTCTCATTCGAGTCTCGAAATAATTTAAATAATAAGCAATTGTTATTAATAGACGTTGTATTATATATTGATTTCTTAAATTAGAAAGAGAAATTCTAGAGTTTGCAATCAAATAATATCAATTGCAAATATTAACCAACATGGTGTAACACTCGTCACATCCTTCAACAACAGTCTCAAAGTAATGAAATAATATGCATAATCTTTTATCGAAAAACGAAATCGTATTAGCAAGTAAGGATAAAAAACATATATGACACAAAAAAAAAAGAACAAAAAGAACGAAACAATTGAAGAGAAGAGCGATCAAAGAATCCAAATTTTCGAACATTAAGCAGGCGATCCCTGCTGAGCAAATCGCCAACGCCGAACACGCTGAGCGTGCAGGTACCAGCTTACTCGACCTTGGGACAGTCGTTACCAAATCTTACGCTCGCCACCTCACCCCAGACGTCAGCGGTCTCGCCTACACCACCGAGCTCACTCCTCATTGTGCCCCTGATCACAAAGAGCAAGGACGCCCTCCTATCGCCAGGTCATCGAGGTGAATTTTCATTTAAGAAAAAAGGCAAACAACTTCATTAATTACTTATTCTAAAGCTCATCCACCCAGCCACAATCACCGACCATTCTGCACCATTCGCCGCTCGGCTCCTAAATTATGAGTGATCCGTAAGGTTTTGGCCGATTAAATACTAAAGCATTTTTATGAACTATCCAGCAGTTTTATGCACTAATAATTTACAAAGATTATAAGAGTACTCTCACTAGTAGTGTCAGTCAATTTATTAACGCCGAATGTTGCACCATAAATCGTATAACTTTTAATAAATAAACTTTTTTAATCAAAATAATTTACCCTAATATTATTATAAATCTTCTGCCTTAGAAGATTCCTTTATAATGTGTGGGCTAGAAGCAATACAATTCGACTTGATTCTTAATGCCAACGATAAAAATTGTTAAATCCTTTCTATGTATTTAAGCATATGATTTAAACTATTGTATTATAAAAATCATGCAGCCGCTCGTTATGTCTATTTTCAAATTCAGCTTATATTTTGCTTCACTCGTTTATAATATCATGTTTTATCAAATTTACAAAAAAGTATTGAACGGTAGTTCCCGCGTATGCACAAATCACATACATCACTCGACTATATACCGATTCAATAACTACAATAATCCATAATTCACCGCCAGGTTTCATTATACAGTTTCTCAGTTACTGAATACAGATTACCCATCTACCAATTAATAAGATCTTACACTCTTCTTGAATTTATGCAGGTATATCATATCCGCCACCGTCGCCCCCTCGTGGCGCTCTGAGGCGAGCTTTCGCGATCCCGCAATCGCGTAATCCGCCCCTTATTAAAACGAGACACGTCAACACTTCGGTGGCACAAACGCTCCAAACGACTGTGAGTCTGGACACTGAGGCTATTGAGGAACGTAGACGGAGGCTCGAACCCTCTGCCAAAGTGCCCTCCAACAATAGTATCGCGGAAGAAAAGGTAATGCAATAATGAACAAAAAAATTCTGAGTGATGATTTGCGAATTAATTAGATAAATTTCCTGGATAAAAGAATAGAGAAAGAAACTGAAAACTTGCGATAGAGGCGAATAATAAAGAATTGTATTATAAGCAAAGTTATTCTTTCATTTTAACATATCGTACATTAATGCCTAACAATTTTTACATGCGCTGTTACTCTAACTGTTAAAGTTGCATAATTTGTATGTAAATTAGCCAAGTCGTTATATATATGATCATCAGTTTGAGTATCCATTAAAAAATAAGTTCACATAATAAAACAAAACTTATAATATTATCGTTAATTAAAAACTTGATCTCTCTTAGGATAATGAAGAATTTATTATTTTAAGTGAAATAAGAATTGATCGCGTACGGATGACTTTTGATTACTTCTATTTGATTCTTATTTGCTTTAATCGCAGTACGTTGAAAAACTAAGATTAAAACGTGTGTTATTATTATTATAATTATAATCATTATAATCATTATTATCATCAACATCATCATCATCATCATCATCATCATCATCATCATCATCATCATCATCATCATCATCATCATCATCATCATCATCATCATCATCATCATCATCATCATCATCATCATCATCATCATCATCATCATCATCATCATCATCATCATCATCATCATCATCATCATCATCATCATCATCATCATCATCATCATCATCATCATCATCATCATCATCATCATTATTATTATTATTTTGTTTACTTATAAGGTACATGTAATTAATATATATTTAAATAATAATTTCGGTCATTTTTATTTTTTTTCCGCTACATAAAATACAATAAAATAATGTTATTTTAAGAGATTTTATGCAAGTGCCTTGAAATTAGCACGAATATCATTTCGAAATTTGACACTTCAAATTTCTCATTTATAAAAAATATAATTAATGAAAGATTTAATAAATTAAAAAATTCTGTTTCATACTTCATAAACAATTAATTTATATTTAAAGTATTATTATTTTATGTTTAATGCACTATAATATGTAAAGCTCTTGTTGAAAATTAGTGAAATTCTAAATAATTTGCAACGGAGGACGAAAATTTGTGAAATTATATTTGGAATTATGGTTATTTCCATTCATTCCTTCTATTCATTTTTTATTCCAGCAATAATTTAAGGTCGAAAAAGATTGAGAGACGATAAAATAAAAACTTTAGACTTTATATAAAATGTTTATTGATCTTTTAAAGATTTATTGCACATTTCTAGTTTTGTAATGTCTTTGGATAGCGAGTAATGCAATTAAATAAAATCGAGCTATTTCGACCTTCCAAATAAATAATTGAACGCCTAGATTAAAACGTATTGTAATTAAGAAAACAACTGTTCCCATCTCCGTCTCTGTTTTTATGGTACAGGAAAAGCGATAGCAAAAGCTACGAGATTAAAGGTACAGGAAAAGACAAATCATTATATCTGTCCTTTCTATAAAATTTCCATAATATTATAAGCTCGCTGGCAACACGATTAACAAATTAAAGACTAATAAAGCCTTGTAAAATAATTATTTAAATAAAGATTGGATAGAGATAAATAATAATAGATATATAATGGTGAATAATATTGTAATAATTTTAGTCGATCTTATTTAAAAATATTATATTAAATAACTTCCAAATTCTGGTACACAATAAATCATTATACATCGCGTAATATTTTGTAAATATAAAATAGAATGAAAAATACCTATTTCATATTTTGTACATAACATAACCATTTCCCATCAAATTTTCGACATCAAACTTCGAATGAAAGATTAGAGAGGCAGAGAGGGAGAGAGAGAGAGAGATGATACAGACAAAGCGCAGACTTCATTTACTCAGCCTTCCAATTCGTAAAACTTTAGAGAATATAAACGACGAAATCTCCGCTTTTTAGAAATGAAGAGGACGGATGAACATTATTATTTCGAGCTTGTTTTTGTAAGTCGCCGCAGTAGTGCACTTAGCGGCGCGTCGACGCGACATTGCGTCGTCATTGCTCTGGGATTTGACGTGGGTACCGCCGAATCCAACAAACGACCGTAATGCTCGGCCACTGTTGCCGATGCCCTACATGATCCCTCTCAAGACCACAAGAAGCATCCCCGAGGGTACCGGCCGATCGACCAAGCAACAACGCACATCGACAAAACAACGATTTACTTTCAGCGCCACATGCAATTGTCTGTCACTTCGTATCTTTAAACCTGCGATACGCCAGAGAAATTCCACAATCGGTAATCCTCGTTTCCTTTTTTTTTTCTCTCTCACTATTTATGCTCGTAATTCCGAGGTCTGACACAATACGATAAATATTCAGATTATAAAACAAAAATATTCGGGGAAGATTCGACTCTCCTGTACAATTTATTCTTTCCATTTTATAACTCGTTTTTTTTCTCCTTTTTTTATACCTTCGCAATATAATTTATAGATTTAGTTTAGCTTTTTCATAAAATCATCTGCTGAAATTCGAAATTCCAGTGACAAAAACGTGTTTACAAAAAAAATTATTTACAGTTTAAAAATATTTGAATATGTTTCGAACATTCATCGAAAATTTAATATAAGTTGTCTCTTTTTTAATTTGATTTACATAAAAACTGATTCGTATTGTTTTTATTTATTTTTTTTAATTTGAAATCTTCTTAGACATGTAACAATTTCTCCTTTACGTTATTATTCCAAATGATCTCATTTTTTATATTATTTGTTAAGAAATATAAAGTCTCAATAATAGATTAGGTTAATATATATATATATATATATATATATATATATATATATATGATAAGAAAAAAGATATGTCGAGAGAGTAACAATATAAAAAATATATATATATATATATATATATAAATGATAAGAAAAATGATATGTCGATAGTGTAACATTATAAAAATTAATTAAAATTTGTTTATTTATCATAAATATAAAATTTATTGACACATTTAGACATGAAAATAGAAAATTAAAAAAAATGATCTATTTATTAAAAAACGTTCAATACATAAGAAAAAATAAAATAAATAGAACTTCTTATTTGAATAAAATTATAATTATTTGTATATATCGCATATAAATGTTTCATTATTCGTAAACAATTATAATTAAATTAGATTTGATAAAAAAAATGATAAAAAATTTTATTGCAGTTTGGGGCCATTCGACGACAACGTAAGATTTAAACAGTGCTTATCTTGTTACTTAAATACATATAATATAACAATGCATAAAATTTTTATAACTCTAAAAAAGAGAAATTGTTAGAAACGTAAAGTATGTCAAAAATGACAATTATAATGAAGTGAATAGAAAATATTTGGAAATTGTTGATAAACGCAGTTTTTCTTCATGACCAAAAAAAACCTGTAGTTACTTAAGGTTCGCGCGACAAAAAAAGAAAGGCCTACTTAGCATAATTATCGTACAACACTTAATGATACGATAAAAATCATATATATATAATAGTCATTATTAAAAAGTTAGGAGACTCTTAGAGAAATTAATAATGCTTCATAGTGACTAGAAGTATGAATATATTCATCCACGAGCACGCGAGAGAATTGATGATAAAGAAAAAAGAAAAACTTGAAATTTGTTAATTAACAATAGTAAATTATATTTATCGGTAATTATAAGGATATTTATTCGTTGAAGAATTCAAATGGTTAATATTATATGATACGTAACAAGAGTTATGTGTATTTGTGTTAAAAGAATTGGATTCATTGAAAATAAAATGTTAATAATTTGGTGTGTATGCCTATATAAAAATATATGAGAGAGAGAGAGAGAGAGAGAGAGAGAGAGAGAGAGAGACATACAGACAGAGACGTCAAAGAGACAGAGACAGAGAGAAAATATGTAATCAATTTGCAAAATAGAAGAAAAAAATTATTAAAAATTTAAAAATTCTTGTTTACAAAAAAATTAGCAAGTCTTATTTTTACTTAAAAATTTATGAAAGCGAGTTTAATATTGATTATATATATATATATATATATATGTATATATATGTTTATAATCTATTAGATAAAGTTACAATGAAAATACTATTCCATTTTCAGATGAAAATACACTTATGTTAAATCTCTTTTATTATTATCAACTGTTAATTTTCCATTATTGCGTTAAAAAGTTATATAGGAAAAAAAAGTAATGTGAAAGAAACGAGGGAGAAAAGAAGAGAATGCAGTGAGGAGAATAGAATAAGCAAAGAGAAAAAATAAAATGAGAATATATTCAAATTAATGAAATTATTTGAGAGCATATATGACGTATATCAGCGAATCTTAAGATTCATGATTTATGAGCATTGGATCGTACAAATGTAAACAAATAATTTATTAAAATATTTGTGTTTTAGTTCCCGAATTAATTGCTTTATTTCTATTTATAATATCCCATATTCCAAATGAATATTACAATTTATTATATGATTGTAACGAATTTAATATAACCTTATGATTTTTCGAATCAAATATTATTAACTTCATTGTTTAAATAAATAAAAAATCTTTACAATATTATTTTATTTGTTTATTACTGCATTAGAGACAAATTCCAATTGAAATTAACTCAAATATCATTTATATACTTTTGTTTTTCATCAAATCATACTTCTCAGAATTATAAACTAATTAAGTGATAAGACCTTCACAATTGTTCTAGTATAAAAAAATTTATAATCTAATTTTGACAGCCTTTTATCTCTAACAAAATGTTACGCATGCAGCAGAACAGCTAGGAAATGATCCTGAAGAAGCAAGGAAATGGTGTACATTAAAAATTGCCTGCTGTAGAATGAATAATATAAATGAAAAAGTCCTACCAGTGAATCTCAGTAATTATTAAAAATAAAATATATTTAAATGATTTATACAAATTAATTTGCAATATATCATAATATAAATATTAACTCTCTAGAAATTTTCAATAAAAATTAATAAATATGAAAACTAATAAATTTTTACGTGAAATACAAGTTTTCAAGTTAAATACATATTTTGCGAACTTTGTCTTATATTATATATACAAGTATTTAATAATAATAATTCAGTCATTTCAGATTTTAATACTTTTACAATATAAATATATTTTTATTTATTATTAAATACTTTACGTACATAATAAAACACTTGTGTAAATTTATAATTAATCCCAAATATCCTTTTTTTAATATTATTGTGTAGTATTAAAGGAACTCTCGACGCATATTTTTAAATATATTTATTTTACAAAGTAAGCCCAATACACTTCTTTTGTAAATAAATCAATAATAATTTTTTTATTTTTACTTGTACTCCATACTAAATGCTATATTAAGCACTTCCTTACTGCTATTTAATACTGTTACAAAAGATAAAACAAACATTATGAAAGAACAGTTTAATTGTAAAAAATATAATTGATCTCGTTACAAAAATTCGTATAGGATTTTCATTTTTCTCTTACTCTCTCTCTCTCTCTCTCTCTCTCTCTCTCTCTTCCCATCTTTCTAACATTGTCTTTTTCACTCCCATTTCTTGTAGACTTTCCCTCTTTATAATTATTCTAATGTTTTCATGTAACGTTTACATAATAAGTGTATACATATAGTATACATATAAACTAAATTCTTATATGCAACTGTATCTTATTGTTTCAAAATAATATTTTTTTTATCGTTTTTCATAATACCGTTATTGATAATTTAATCCATGTATGTTACATTAATTTTATTATATAATAAATATAATTTTTATAATAATTTGATTACATAAAGTATAAGAATTTTTCTCTTTCAAGCATCTAAACGTAAAATAGTAAATGTATTAAAAAGTCATACTGTAAAAACAATGACGAAGAAAAAAATGTAGAAACTAATAATATTAAAGGTTATTGCTGAAAGTGCGAAGTAGTTGAAACGAATACTCAATACTTGTGCTTCGACTTGGCTTACTTAACTTTTATGAGGTTGTTATAGATCTAACCTGTCTTATGTATTATGAGAAAATATGAAAGATCTGTCCTTATCTACTATCAGTCCTTAATGAAATATATCTATAATGGCTCGGAATAGAATGGTTGCTAAAGTTAAATAGCGCTCCCATATAAAATCGTAAAGACATAAATCGTTATTATCCTATATAATATCTAATCCTATATTATATTTTTCATTAAATCATTCTTATAATCTATTATTTATATATTGTTTTATATATCAGTTATATATCTTTAAATATTAGTCGACCAAAGATTTTCAATAATCTTCCCGAAGGGCTTCTATTTCTTGAGTGGCTTCAATCTCCTGACATATCTCGTTTTGGATCGCAATGATCTACAAAGAATCGAGGGGCTGTATAAGCAACTTTAAGAGATTAATTTCCAAAGGACCCGAACATTGCAACATACCTACACAACATATCGTGTCATTCGCAAATTGTTAGAAAGATGATTAGTTATTATATAAAACTGCATTTTCTTTCCTTCCTAATTCATATTCTTTTCTAGTTCATAAAGTAAAATCGACTTAAAATAGCTTTACTAATGAATTTAGTAATCGAGTTCCGGTAAAATGTATATATATATATATATATATGCATATATTCAATATTATTGATTATCCATAATCTGTGATTAACTATACAATATGTTATTAATATTATTGTTCTCGTACCCATTTTTTTTGTTTTTGTTTGACATTTTATTTATATCCAATATAGACTAGGATTTTATCAAATCGCTTAGATAATAATAATTAATAAAGATAAACACTTCAACTTTATTTTTATCGTGAAAATTTACATTTCCCAATTATACTTCACATATCTGTTGCAGCTCGTCAATATGGAAAAAAATATATGTGCTCGTGCGTTTGTGTGCGCGCGCGTGCGTATGCAGGTCATAAAAAATTGAATTTTTATTCACTGATTATACTAACTAGTAAATTTAATAGTGACAGCTGCAATTGAATTGAAGGAAAACTAAAATTTATTAAAAACATTTTAATAAACCATATGAAAGAGAAAGATAGAATATGATTGATATATATATATTGATATATGATTGATAGAATAATGATATCTACTCTACTGATAATTGCATCTAACCGATAAATTCGAGGCGGTGAACCGAAAACATTTAGCAACAGTTTTTTTATTGCTCTTTTGTCTGATTTACGAAGAGAAGGGAAAGAAAGAAGAGTAAAAGAATGTGGCATGAATCGAAGAGTCTCAAGTCGAATCAAGTCAGTATTTCTGAACAAATGATATCATTCACGATGCTAGTGGTGCCATAAGCAATAGAGCATTGCGATTGAAACAAGAGATAGATGAATTAATCAAAGGGTGGCATAGTATGCAGAAAATATA